GCTGTCCAATTTTCCCAGCACCATTTATTGACGAGACTGTCTTTTTTCCATTGCATATTTTTTCCTGCTTTGTCAAAGATTATTTGACCATAGAGTTGAGAGTCCATTTCTGGGCTCTCTATTCTGTTCCATTGGTCTATATGTCTGTTTTTGTGCCAGTACCATGCTGTCTTGGTGATCACTGCTTTGTAATATAACTTTTAAATAATAAAAATTGTTCATCTCAGCCAGTTTATTACAAGCTATACCAGACAATCCTTTCCTTTATTTTGAAGCAAATGAGTCATTGATAGTATTTTATATTGTATGGCTTCATCGAAGAGACAATTAAAATTCTTCACTTTTTAACTCACATTATAACACATTTATACTCATATTATACTTATATACAATTAAAACTCTTCACTTTTTAACTCACATTATAACACATTATACTCATCTTATAAGCCAAACTAACCCATAAATTGTTTATGCTAAACTCTGGAAGAACCTTTGTGAACCACAGCTCTTAAAGAAAATATAAAACACATCAGCAGTCATCAATTTCTATGAACAAGAACCAACGTGGAAAATACAAAACTGACAAAACTAATTTTGTCACCCCTAATTTAAAATGCAATTTCATTTTCTCTTTAAATGCCTACAGGAGGCAAAGGGCTGATTACTGGGAGTAATTACTCTAAATAAATTTGCCTATCATCTTCTCACTGCTTAACTGTTCAGGAGATAATAATTAAAATATATTCTGTACGGAAAATAAGACAGGCATGAGGAATCACATGTGTCATTTAAAAGTGACGACATCACATAAAGAAACAAAAGGACCACAAAAACATATTAATAGTGCCACTGTTCTCTGTTGTTGCATAACAAACTACAACAACACTCTAACCTGTCAGAAGGGTTAACGCGCTCCAAGGTTCTGCACTCCTCGTTTGCTGACCTAAGTCCCTCGGGCTGTAGCAGGACTAACCTACTTTCCCAGAGATTTGCAGACCAATGGCCTTGAGAAGTGAAGGACCAGACTTTCCCAGAAGGCAAGGCATGACCACATTTGAAAACAGCTGCCACTGATGCCAGCAGGTCTGTTCAGGGTCAGGTCTCATGTCGACACATAACTAATGGCTTGGGCACCTGCTTCTCCTACATGTCACCCCGACCATTTCCGCTCCTTCCCCTTTAAAACCCCGTAGCTTCGCCTGGACAGGAAAGATGGGCTTTGAGACATTAGTCCACCATCTTCCCAGGTTGCCAGCTTCCTAAATAAAGCAACCTCTTCTTTCCCACCATCACTTGTCTCTGAAGCATTGACTTTTGATGGGCAAGCAGCTGAACTTGAGTTGAGAACCTGTTCTCTGTGCAGGATCAAAACCACCCCAAAATGTCGTGGCTTAAAACAGAAATTTCTTAAGAT